TTTTTTGGAAGCTCACTGGAAACATCAAGTTTTGGTGCGGGCCTCGGTGTTAAAGCAAAAATTCACTTTGGTTTTTCTGCCCACCCCTGTGTTAAAACATAACATATGTGCAAGTCCTGTACTGATTGGTCGAAAGTTAAGTTTAATTGACACTTAGGAAAGGTTCATTACATCACTGTTTTTGAAGTCAACAAACAATAAATACATACAATATGAGTACACACACGCTGATAAGATATGAGGTTGATCTTTCAAGATGATTGAATTACAGTCAGAAACCTAACAAATAAGTTATTTCATTTACAGATTTTTTGATACAACTCCAATCGGCCGAGTTCTAAATCGATTTTCATCGGACATACAGACTCTAGATGCAGTAAGTAAATGGAAAAAAATTGCTCATGTGTAATAAAAAAAAAAATCATACTAGAAATTGTAATAGTGATGGTTGTGATGGTGGAAAGGTCTGTCTGCACTATAAAATGTTGTTTGTTTTGTGAATATTTACCAGGATGAACCGTTATATATACTACGCTCAATTTAAACAAACAGATAGTGAAATACATACGGTCCAGACTGAACATAGTGTTCAAATTGTTAGTAAATGTCGATAATTACCCATTTATTGGATTCCATAAAACACAAGTAACACGGATATCTCGGTGTTTGGCGGTCAAGCGTTGCATTACCAAACACAGATCTCAAAAGACCATGTTGATTTTGCTGTGCCAAATTCCATGAGTTTAAAACATTTTTGAACACTATCCCGAGGCAAATCAACGTATCTTTATAATCGTAATCTTGCAGTTACGTTGTTTTACCACAGAAAATCACTAGATTTTAAGTTTTGTGCTTAAACATAGGTTGTGCTATCTCCGAAACGACTCATTGTTGAGAAATGAAATTTTTACAGGTAACTCAGAAGTGTTTAATATTCTCCCTATTGTATTATCTCAAAATCGACAAAAGTGTCAGTTACGTTGTTTTGCCTCGGGACGGCCAATTGATTGACCAAATACAATTTGATAGTGTGGACAGCAGAAAGGGTGTTAGGTTAAAGATGAAAATGGTATCTATGGTGATGCAATTCCAGTGCTTTTGAAACCTGAATATACAAATGAAATGATAAAATACTGTAGTAATAATGATGATGGGTGTTGTCGAAAATGGAGATATATATTGATCATAAGAATGATGATGTTAAGGGTGATAATTGTGATTGTACAAAGAAAATTATAGTGATAATGATTATGGTAGTTATAATGGTGAAATGGTGGTCCACCGGTGAAATTTTTGATGGAAGATGATAACCATGATGATAATGGAAAGGTTATATAATGATCTCGGTATAGAGGGTGATAAATGGTGTAAATGATGATATTCACAGTGAAGATCACAGACACAGTGACAAACACAAACACTAACAATCACAGACATAGTGACAATCGCACACACAGTGATGATCACAAACACTGACGATCACAAATATTAACAATAGCAGTCATGGTGACAATCACACATTATTGATAGTCACACATTCACAATTGCAAACACAGTGATGTTTGCAAAATAATTAGTGACCATCACAAACACAGTGACGATCACAAACACAGTGACAATCTCAAACTCGTTAATGATCACAAACACTGTGATTATCACAACCACAGTGAGGATCACAACCACAGTGAGAATCACAAACACAGTGATGATCACAAACACAGTGGCGATCAAAAACACAGTGATGATCACAAACACACTGGTGATCACAAACACAGTGACGATCACAAACACAGTGACGATCACAAACACAGTGACTATCACAAACACAGTGACTGTCACAAAGCATTGAAAATCACTATAAACATTGATGAACTAAATACATTGTTGAACTAAATAGAGAATATAATGATAATATTGAATTACCTTTGTAGCAACTGGGTTCAGCTCTGAATTCATTGCTGGTGTTTTCGATGAACTGTATCTCCGCGATCATTGTCAACACCATCGTGTCGTATTTCTTCATCTTTATATGCATACCAATGGTAATCCTGTACATCGTAATGATGATGTATTTCATCACAACTTCAAGGTAAGGATTTGAAAAACAAAATAGCAGCACCTGTTGATAATGTGGGAAAGGTGCAGTTAAAAAAAATAAATAAAAACAATAGAGGAAAAATGAAAATTGTGTTAAAGTTTAAGTTTGAGATTTCCAGTTATCTAGAGGTGCTATGGCATTACTGGACCCTCTATTCTTCTGCGTATGACAGGCAGCACCAATTTTACAATGTGACTAACTACTTTTTTTTTTTTGGCTTATTTATTTATTTTTTATCTAATTTAATTTATTTTTTTTAATTTATTTTTTTAATTTATTACTATTACTAAATAGCATAACTTAATTTTCTAAATTTGATATTTAAAATAATTTAATTATTTCACTGTTTTGTATACATTGTTTATTAAAGGGGAAATTAAACAAAATGTATGCATTTTTGATACTTTTACCATTTTATAGTAAAATAATGTTTTTTTGGTATGTGACTTAATATTGTTTATATTTTAATATGCTTTTTTGATAATATTACCATTTTATTACGGAATATTAATGTATTTTTAGACTTTTTTAAATCTTTAATATATTTCTCTATTACCTTAATTGTATATTTTTATGTGGACTCTCTTTATTTTTATTGTAATTATTATGCAGGACCATTGTTCACCCTTATAATTCAGGGGGGGAGGCGACTACAGTCGCCGAGAATGTAGGTTAAAATAGAACCAGGGGAGCAGCACCGAGCAGCATATTCTGTTTTCAACATGAATTTCATACGTTTCTATAGATCCTAGAAAATTCTGGCTTGGATCAATGGGTCATGGGTCAATTGTTCTTTTGTAATATGAAAAGAACTGACATCATGCTTTTTCAAAATCTTTCAGAATATTTGATTAAAAATAGCTTTCAGAAATTAAAAAACAGGTATTAACATCTGCCTGATAAATGTTAAAAAAAGAAAAAAAGAAAATAAATAAATAATGTTTAATGTTCACCGAGAAGGAGAAGAAGGAGCTCAATCGTGTAGTTAAGTCTGCCTCCCATATCATTGGAATCGAGCAGCCTTCGGTAGATGTAATCTATCATGACCGTATGGTTAAGAAGGCAATGGCAATTCGCTTAGGACAGAAATCACCCGGCTAACCATTTATTCACTTTGATGCGAAGTGGTCGCCGATATCAATCAATATATTGACCAGAAGGGGTAGATCTCTACGTAGTTTCTATCCCTCCGCCATAAGGGCATTGAACAAGTCACAAGTTTTATGTTTGTTTTTGTTAAGGAACCAGTTAAAATTTCATTGTATGTGTATTGTACATGTATATATGACAAATAAAATTCATTGAGTATTGATTTAATAATATCTTTTTTGTTTTTTTTTCTGTTCTAATGTTCAGGGAGTTGCAGCGTCTGGACAGTATCAGCAAGTCTCCAGTGTTTGCGCACTTCTCCGAATCCCTTGGTGGACTGCCAACAATCCGCGCATACTGGTAAATCATATAATGATTACAATTGTAATAATTTCTCTAAACTTGTATAATAATAAGTTTAATTTTATACTATAGAGTACCACAGTCGTGTCGTCACAACGCCAGGTTGCACCCTCTGTTGCCAACCAGACGTTGGTTACCGTTCATTACGCCAAACTTCATAGGCTTTCTGGAATAGGCATTTTAAAATCTAATATTTTATCATCAAAATGTAATATAAACAAAAAAGCTCGCATTATATTTAGTTATCGAACACACATTTAATCATCAATTAAAATTTACAAAGAAAAACTAAGATACAACATCTTAAAAATTATGTTAGAATTTTGGATAAAATTATTCTCAGTGAAGAAAATAGCATCCGGTTGAACGCATTTTGCAACGATAGCAACAGTGTAGTATCATATGGTATTGTGACGTAACAATGTTACGTACTCTATAAAACAAGTTCGTTGTGGATATTTTTTTCATTATTTTATAGTTTGATCAGTAAACAAGTTCTTGTAATCTAAATGGCTCCGATGAGGGCAGTATAATAGAGGCAGTAGAGTGAAAAAAATATCTATTAATCAATCAGCCGAATGTTTCTAGAGCTCCTCACGAGGGCAGTATATTAGAGGCAGTAGATCTAAAAACAATCTATTAATCAATGAACTATTAATCAATCAACCTCATGGAGGCAATATAATAGAGGCAGTAGACCTAAAATAGATCTAATCAATCAACTATTAATCAGTCAAGTGTTTCAAGAAGTCTTCATGAGGGCAGTATATTAGAGGCAGTAGATCGTAAAAATATCTATTTAATCAGTGAACTATTAATCAATTAGACTCATGAGGGCAGTATAATAGAGGCAGTAGATCTAAAAAAAAACCTATAATTCAATCAGCTGAGTGTTTCTGGAGCTCCTCATTGGAGCTAAAAAACTTCATTCTGCAACTAACACAAGGCCAGTATTGTAAATTAATTTTCATCTGGATCTATAATATAATTAGACATTGTCCAGACTGTTAAAGTGTCTTCGACAGCAAATGTTTAATGCCCATATATAGTCATGATGTGTCTATATATAGTAATAATGGGGTCACATCATGACCATATTTAGGCATGTCACATGTTTTTGTCTAATAAAATTTGATGGGACTGGACACGGCTTTTTGTTGATCCAAGTTTTAACACAGTATGATTTTCAGTCAGCGATCCGTTGTCTTTTTTCAAGGAGTCTAGCATGGTCCCACCTAGTTTGGTCTGACAAACCTGTTGTTGAGGTCGAAGTTCATCATTGCATCATCCACATTGCACCTCGGCCTCAATAACAAATCCTCCTTTTTTTCTTTTCTTTTTTTCTAAAAATTGGATCAATGAATAACAATCAGTAGCTCATTTCTGAGAGAAGTAAATGTATCAAATTATCTACATGTAGAGTTGGTTGCTTTGGATGTCATAGTTCTTTTAATGTAATGTATCCTAAATTGGTTGTCTTACCGTAATGTTAACGTTGAAGATATTTTAAAAAATTGTTGCTTCTTTTTTAGTTTGCAGAATTCATTCAGAGATGCCATTCTGAGCAAAATCGACAAGAACAACGTTGCATATGTGTACATCCAAACTGCCAACAGATGGTTAGGTGTTCGACTGGTGAGTGATATAAAGTCGAGCCTAGACAATCAAATTAAGTATTTGACAAAAACACTTTATATGCCTAAATATGGTCATGATGACATCACATTATGAATGGGTATACAATTTGATAGTGTGTACAAAGTTACATTTACATCAGCATGCAAAAGGACATTTTACATGGGTAAGGACAAGAAAAAAAAAGGAATTTTGAGCTAGAATTTGTGATGCATAGCATATTGTTTATAACTTGGGGCCAGTGTAATGTATCAATTCATATTTTGATCAAAATAAGAATTTGCAACTTTTTTGAAAGTCCATGGTGACATTCAGTATCTTTGCATGATAGGTTTGAATGTTAGAGGACCATATTTGTTTTTTTTTTTTTTTTTTTGTAGATGATATAAATATTCATAATCAGAAGTAACTAAGTACATTACTGCTGAAGCAGCCAATTCATATTCTTAACCGCGATTTGACCTCTGAAAGGTCATTGTTTGTCAAAAAACAAGGGCCTAAGACGACTTTCGTTCTGCCGGGTAAAATCAATTACTTTAGGCGACGTTTGTAGACTAACCAACACGTACCAACGTCCGCACGTCGCGCTAGCCTTATCCTACTCTAGGCCTAGACTAGCTAGGATGGTATAGGCCTAGCCTTGAAGGGACGAAGGTCCAATGGAAAAACAACGTCGCTCCTTGATAGCTAACAT